GTTCTTTTATTCTCTCCACAAGCAAATTAAATTGATCTTATCCTAACCATTATAGATAAATACTGAATTTGCTTGTTGCTCATTGCTCTTGAAATGTGTGACTTGGTAATAGTGTGTTGCAGGATAGCAGTGAGATGCACTGCCAGAGATGGGCAGGGAGTTTGCGATTAGTCTGCTTTTTGTTATTTCTCTTCCTAGCATTGTTAATAACCCTTCACTTTCATAAGCATCAAATTAATTGTTTTAATGATTAAAAGGAAATGTGGCCCCATATCATATGGTAATGTTCTACTCCTTCCCATGACTGAGAATTTTACAAAGGCATAGTTGTCTGTATCGGGAGGAGCCTTGCATTGTAAAGAGCCACACTTCTGGCTCGGTAATTAGTGGTAGCATTGTTACTCAGATGTTATCAATTCAAACTATGTACCTATGACCAAAAAATCAGACACGTAGAACTGGAAGGGCCCTTGATAGATCTAGCCAGTCCCCTGCACTCTAATCAGGACTAAGTAATAATTAGACCATTCCTGAGAGGTGTTTGTCTAATCTGTTCTTAAAATTCTCCAATATCGGAGATTCCACAACTTTCCTAGGTAATTTATATCAGTGCTTAACGACCCTGACAGGAAGTTTTTCCTAATGTCCAACCCAAGCCTCCCTTGCTGCAATTTAAGCGCATTGATTCTTGTTCTATCCTCAGAGGTTGAGAACAATTTTTCACCCTCCTCCTTGTAACAACTTGTTATGCACTGTACTTGAAACACAAAGATAATGTTAAGATTGAAAAACTTTCCATATTTTAAACCTCAGATCCTACCTCATTTTATATATTAATGTTAAACAGCAGTCTATTTTGCTCATACACAGATACATTGTATATCTAGGGCATCCCAAGTATCCTGCCTAGCACACTAGATGATTTATAATCTTTATAAAACTACAGTGAAAGTTAGGGCCAGTGTTCAAAGACTAAGACTCTCTCCACATAACCCTCAAAATCTTCATTCACTCCACACATCTGCTTATCCCACTCCCCAGAAATAGCCTGCAGGGAACAGATGGATATGACCTGACAGTCAACAGAATTCACCAATAAAGGAAGCAGATTACTCAGTGCAGGTACCCTTCCAGTTAAACCAAAGGGTAATGTGTTCATTTTAGTTGATCTCAAATGCTATTGCCAGGTGGGGAAGTGCAGATTTCCCACAGTCTCATAAATATACCTTGAATAGGAGGGGTGAGAGAACAGAACCCTATGATACGCTACATGAAACAGCCTAGAGTAGACGAGCACTTACCTAACACTACCATCTGGAGCCTATCCTTGTGAATAGAGCCATTGCAAGACTGACTTGCCCATGGCAGAGTCTGCAGCCACATCAATACCTCAGTCAAGATTACTCCAAGGCCACTGATCAACCTAAAAGAATGAATATGTGCACTTTATTTTCATTCATCAGCAGGAGACTCAACCAGAGAAACTGTGCAGTATCTGTTCCATACCTACATCTAAAAGCAGGTGAACAGAATAAAAAAAAAATCTGAGGACTCAAAATATTGCCACAGTTGTGACACCACCTTCTCTAGAATCTTCACCAAAAAGAGAACATTACCATAGGGTCTCCACTCAGCAAGATTATCAACAATAAGAGAGTGCCATCAGACCTCGATTTTTCTATTTTAACACTGAACTGTATTTTATATACCAGTCTAGGTATTAGCCAGGACTTGTTCTTTCCCCTAGCTCTGAAAGCAATGCCATTATTCTGGTTTTTTCATCTAAATGGCACAAATGCAAGTGTTTTGTTCAGACAATGGAAATATTACTCTCTCTAAATGTATCCATTTGTTCCTAGCCCTGGAGCCTCCAGAAATAAGAGTGAGATCATCATAAAATAGGTTTATGCTTTTCTCCTAGTCTACCTTGGAGCAGGTCAATGAATTATTTTAACTTAAAGAAAAGGAGTACTTGTGGCATGTTAGAGACTAATAGGTTAGTCTCTAAGGTGCCACAAGTACTTCTTTTCTTTTTGTGAATACAGACTAACACGGCTGCTACTCTGAAACTTATTTTAACTTGAATCTTTAAGGCTCTATCTCTTGTGGGGAATGGGAAAAAAAGCTGGTTTCTCTCCATTCTAATTCAGTGCGGTTTCTGTGAGCTCTCATCTACCTTGATGGGTCACTAAATCTGATTCATTTCAGATGCTCTTAGTGGAAAAGCAGTAGATATGAAAAGTCATCTCTTGGCTATATGAGCATTGTATTTTAGAATTTTCTTTTTATACAAGTGGTTTCCTTGCTATTGATAAACTGTCAGATACTGTCCACAAATTCAGTTTTCTGTTTTCAAGCTTTCCCAAGAAAACGTTTGTCTATGTCGTTGTTTAGGACTTAGGATTTTTTCAGATGATGTTATACATTATCTGTATTGGTCTATAATAATTAGTAGTAAATCTGGCTCTGCTTCTTTCGGGCAGCAGAATTTTTACTGGCTTCATAGCTTGTTTTGCATAACTTCTTTACATTATACAGAATATTTAAATTCTGAGGGCCTGCAAGATGTTTTTAAGATCAAAATAAATTAATATTGTCACAGGTCTTGAAAAATGCTAAGAATTCTAGAGCTCCATACTTAGTGTGTTTTTTAAACCACTTTTCTGGGTTGACTTTTAATTTGAGTTCTTTCCTCATCTTTGAAAATGTAGATACTCAAGAAAATTTTCTGCGTAACTTTCTAGAGGACACGTAGTAATATTATTTTTTTCCATGAAATCCATAATTTTAAAACTATTTCTATAATAATGGTGAAAGATAGTTTTGAAAGTTTGACAGACCATATCCAAAACTGAGTCAGATTTAATTTATTAAATGCAGCCGGGTTTCAAAAGTCTACCTCTCATCTGTCCCTAAATAGTTGCATTTCCTAACTGTGACATCAAATTTGATAGAATGACATTTGCTAGCACCTTTTTTTTACCACTAGTAGTTTTTTATTATTTATGTTAACTATAACCAAGGTTTTGTGTACTCTGAGGTATAATGGTATCAAATTCCATGGTGTGGGATCAGAGTACATGGGATTCTGATTTCAATTGAAAAAAGAAAAGGAGTACTTGTGGCACCTTAGAGACTAACCAATTTATTTGAGCATAAGCTTTCGTGAGCTACAGCTCACTTCATCGGATGTAGTGAGCTATAGCTCACGAAAGCTTATGCTCAAATTGGTTAGTCTCTAAGGTGCCACAAGTCCTCCTTTTCTTTTTGCGAATACAGACTAACACGGCTGTTACTCTGAAACCTGATTTCAATTGCTGTAACTTTCAAAATTTAGAGACCCCAGAATGGATTTTAAAGCCTCAATAGCAACTCTGTGTCTAAGGCTTTAATTTTGTTTTTTTCATAGCACTTATATAGCGAAGGAAAAATTAGAAAATACTAATAAAAGAAAAGTTTGAAAGTCTGGGAATTCATTGTTAATTTCAGTCTTAACTCAAACCCCACATCTCTGGAAAATTCATAGTTACATGGCAGATGGAGAAACATGATCTGGGGAACCTTCACTCAGAGTTTTCAAACTTTCAGACTTGGGTCTGTATAACTGAAGCCTTACATTACCAAAAATAAACACCTTAAAACCAGTATATTCAAATTGTAGCACTCTAGGAACATCTCCTGGTGAAATTTTTCTGGGAAAAGCTGGTCTAGGCTGAAAAATCAATTTCTGCCTGCTGTGGAATTTCAAGAGCAAAGTGTAAAACTCAAGACTATTTGCTGTATATCTTTCAATAGCTTTCTGGAAAAAGACATAGCCATGGTCCATTCTGCATTACAGCTGTATAAAGGCATTTGAATTTCCATTGCACTTTATTCACAGACTTAAATATTAAGCCATCTTTGATGCTCTAAAAGTTTTTTTTATTGAAAGTGAATGGTGAAATCTGTGGAAAAACTTTTTGTTTTAAATGAAGTGTTAGTAAAGCACTTCTGAGTTGTCAAATTTTGGTGATATTGTGATGCTGGTTAAAATTCACCTGACTGTTTTGTCAGACACTCCACTCTTATCTCAGCTGCAACCAGGTATGTTCAGTTATGCTGTAGTTATATCAGGCTATATACTTTTTCTGTTGGAATATTTGTATGACTGTTCTAATTCCAGAGCAATCAATAATTTGCTTGGTATTCATTATACAGTACCTTACCTGGGGTACAGCAAAATTATTTCACTTTTTATGATTTACATTAATCGGTGCAACGAAGATATATCCTGATGAGCTTGCAGGAAGCTCTGAACAAAATTAAAATTTTGAAGGCTACTCATTCTCTTGTAATCTGTTACAGTTTTTGCCATAATTACCATCAGCTAGTCATGGTTGCTGACATTTGTATAAGATACCTATATATCCAGGATGGCAAAAGCACAAATGTAGGAATATTCTAATTTTTTTAAAAGGCTATCTATGCTAGAGCAAGATACACAATACTTGGCTGCTGCAGTGTACGTTTTCTTCCTTAGAAAACATCATTATTTGCCAAAATGGCAAATAATTTGTAGCAACTAGCTTTATGGAAAAGTGAAAATCTCCTGAGATGTAAGCTAATTCTGTGCTTTATCTGCTGAGTTCAATAATGTGTACTAAAGCAAACTGTAACAAGGTACTCCCTAACTAAACAAAAGGTGCTCTTTTATGTTCAGTTTATTAATTTATATCTTTTTTGAGATTTCTAAAGTAAAAAATTTCTAAAGCACAAAAATTCGGACTCATTAGGGAAGGCAACTTCTTCATCCAAGCAAAGGGATATCAATGAATGTTGTTGCTATTGAGAAATATCATTAGGCTGCTTTTCAATGGCAATCACGTATCAAATATTTCATTTTACTTTTGTTTACTAAGTTTTTCTCCCTTGTCTAATTTTGCTTTTGTTTTTCTTAAACATGTGCTAAGTCAAGTGACAGTGGGCTAAACTGGTGTATTAAAGCTTTGCTTTTCTTGTAGGTGACCCGCTGCAGTGCAGTGCTTGGGTGGGACAGTGTGCACTGTACATAGTGATCATGATGTTTGAGAAAACCATCATCATTATAGTCCTCCTAATACCTCAATGGAAAGAGGTTTGAGTCTTTATAGTATTTTTACAGTTAAATGAATTGCAGATAGATGCCAGAAGGTGATAAACTGTTAATTCTATTTAATCCAAAAAGACTAAGGCTATCATGCAAGCTATGTAGAGGTCCACAGTTGGTGCTACTTAACTGTTGCCTATGATAATGGAGTGTCCTGATACACTAATTGGATTTCACTGGTGACAATGCTTCCATTCTATTTTGAATTTAGTAGGTATTGCATCATGTACAATATAAGATCACATGCTCACTTGAGGTACCTAAAAGGAGACCGAGTGCATCAGCCTTTCTTTTAGTTAAATTACAGCCCTAACTTTAAACCTATTTTGTATTCTTTTCCACAGTTTTAGAGAATCTCCCCTAAATGTTCATAATAGAACATTGGTACATTTTTTGTAGTAAAACCTTAGTAATTCACACTGCAATAAAAGACACATTGCTGAGTTACTGAATTAAAAAAATCTGCCAGTAAGCAAACAATAGTCAGTTTCTGCAGCACAAAGTGTATTTTGAACCCTTATACAGGTAAAGTATAGCTTAGCTTCAATTTATGCTAATACTATTAGTTATACTAGTAAGTGTGTGGCAGTATATTCAGTAAACATAATGAAGTTGCAGTAATGAGGAATGACTCCCAGGCTGAGATCTGTATGAAAGATCATAACATTGTAAGTGACCTGATTTATAATCTAAACATGACAGTACTTACCTGGAGCAGCAGAAGTCTCTATAATGTATTGTAATTCACCTTTAAAATGTCTTTGTTTTATAAAATATTTGAACTTCTGCATCCCACGTCCAGATATTTAACTTTAAAACCGCAGCATGTGTTTGTAAGCAATTTTCCAAGATATTGGTTCTTCCAGTCAAAGCTTTCTGGAAAAAGGGTTCAGTGGATATTTGACTATAGCCTATGCTTTGTTTTTCTTGGTCAAACCTCTTTTATGGCCACGGTTAGTTCAACTGCAGGAAGCACATACATCATCTTGGACATGTCGCTAATAGAATCTTTCATCTCAATGTAGAATCAAGTGGGAACCACAAGTCCACACACTTTTAAAGGGATAATTTATAATTTTGTCTATAATTGATAAAGCATTTTATATAACTGAACTGTGGAATAAGTGTCAGGTAGGTACGAGGTGGATTGTCTGGTTTAGTACAGCATATGCAATTTAACATTCAAGATGATTACTCATAGCAGTTAGAGCTGAATAACCCCTGTAAGGTGTTCTAAACCAGGGGTTCTCAAACTGGGGTGTTGCGAGCTGTCAGACTCCACCCCAAACCCCACTTCACCTCCAGCATTTATAATAGCGTTAAATATTTAAAAAGTGTTTTTAATTTAGAAGGGAGATTGTACTCAGAGGCTTGCTGTGTGAAAGGGGTCACCAGTACAAAAGTTTGAGAACCACTGTTCTAGACCATCCCTGTAGAATAAAACAGGATTTTTTTACACTTTATTTTATAGTATTCTGACCAGTTTTTTTAAATCTCCAAGTGATGGGGCTTCAAACATTTTCCTTGGGATTATAAGGTGATTAATTTGTCAGATAGTATCTGGTTGCTTCACCTACCCACAAGTCATCACATTCCTTCTGTAGCCACAAATTAGTGGGATGGCAGATTGTTTTCAGTCAGCCGCACATTACGTGCGTTACTAAATGCAACAAACAAATGCTTCCTTGACAAAATTATATTCCTTTCCTATGAAACTGTCCTTTCTAATTCATCTGGCTACCAGCCTAATACTTTCTGTAACACTTTCTAACCCAGCTGCATGCACATACTGTTGTGGTCTGAATTTGATCTTTTTCTTTTCACAGGTAGCTTTATTGAATCCCATAGAGAACCCCCAGTTGGAGCTGGCTATCGTCATGCTGATAGTTCCCTTCTTTGTTAATGTTAGTACAACTGTACGCTTTTCAGAGATAGTTGACTTGTGTTCCCCCCCCCACCCATCCCCTTCTCCATCTGTTAAAATTAATCCGTACCACACAGTGCCTTGGTGATATCTTAGTGTTACAAGTCTTCAACTGCTCTGTGTGTGTGTGTGTGTGTGTGTATAAAATGTGATTATGTACTTATGTATCTATAAAATCCATAATCAGCAATGCCATTGGGCACAGGAATGGTGCACAGAATGCCCAGTGTTGAATGTACTATTCAGATACTGTTGTACCAGTTAGAAATTCCAGTTAAATTTGGTTTATTTAGGAAAGCATTAATTTGTTTGGAGCGCCAAAAATATCATCCTATTGAAGTGCCCTAGACCAAGCAAGACTATCCATATGTCAAGATTAAGAGCTAATAAAAAATGCCCACTAAGCAGCAGCTTTTTTCTTATTGGTGCAAGAGCAGGAAATAGGGCAGCTATGTTTCAGGGGGTATATGTTAGATCATGTGACTGGATCTGTACAGGATTTTGCCATATTTGGCCAAATCCCACTTAGTACAACTATTCCCTAACTCCATTCCAAGGACTGAATGACTAACACATATACTGGTCTAAAGAAAACCTGAACTGTGAATTTTCCCCTGTTAACAGGCATTAATGTTCTGGGTGGTGGATAACTTTCTTATGAAGAAAGGGAAGACAAAAGCTAAACTCGAAGAAAAGGAAGTGGGGCAAGATTCAAGGAATGGAAGTAAAGTCCGATACAGGAGAGCAGCATCACATGAAGAGTCAGAGTCAGAAGTATGTAGATGCACCACTTGCTGTACCTGAGTCAACTCCCTTCCTTTTGACTTTGACTTACAATACTATCTTAGGCTTGATTAGTTTTGTACTAAATTTGCTTAGAGCCCTTTTTCGTAAGACCTCATTGAATAAATCGGGACTGCTAATTCACTTCTCTTATTGACCCTTTACAAGGCTGCTGATGTTTTTCCTGGGGTACGAGACCTTTCAAAAGGATTGTTTTTAGATCCTGTGGTGTCAGATAATTCAGTTAACAGTGAACTACAGCTTTAATGTGGCTATTTTATAAGGATATTGTATATCTAAAAATGGTGTCTCAGATTTGTTAAAACAGACATTTCATCTGTTATGATAATCTTACACATTTGAACAATAGATCAGTTTCAGGTTGGGTTTTTTTTGTTTTGTTTGTTTTTGAGGGTTGGTGAGGTTAAAGAGTCTACAGCAGTTTTAAAACCATATCTAGTCAGTAGTGTACAGGATTATACACTACAAATAAGTGCCATGGCAGCTTCCCCATTCAATGTTGCAAATAACCTTGATTTGACTTTAAACAACTGTGATAGGGTGAGAACATCATTCTCTCAGTTCTGTTCTCAATCTCTCCTTATCCGAAGAGCTTAATTAAGGTGGATCAGAAATGTTCCTTTTGATTGCTACCCACTAAAAGAACTTAACCATGATGAAAGACCATTCAGTTGAAGCATACAGCTGTGTAAGAGCCATTGCTATATCTGGTACAACTCTCTAGTTCCATTTTTCTGTGGAATATAGTACTTTCAGTAATTACACTGAAAGTGAAGGGGCCAAAAAGTCAATTTTTTTAACTTCCCTGCTTTCAAGATAATCTTCCTTAAAATTTTGTTAAGCACTTTTTGCTTTGCATAAGGACAAGCATCTTACTTGAGTATATGAGCACTTCTGTCACTATTGTTTAATATCCATTATCAGTAGTAACTCTTTTTTGTTTAGTAGATAAAACTGTCACTGAAAGATGGTCAGAGAATCTGTCTGCCCACAAGTGGAAAATTTGTGGGATCCCAGTGTACCACAGGTCCCACTGTTCAGTGCTTTCTTCAGTCAAATGACCTTTCTTTAAGATCAGATAATACCTGTAGACTTTATGAGCCCATATGTCTATTAGAGATGAAGATGCCTGCTGTCTTCAATTTCTGAAAATGTGTTCATGGCAAATTGCTTAAACTGCTCTTGGTTAAAAAACATTTTGGGCACCCTGATTTATTTCTTGCATAGAAGGTGAAGTACGAAAAAGCATTTTGATGTTTGAAAGTTACTTTCTAATTAGGGCTGTTAAGCAATTAAAAAATAATAGAACACCATTTATTTAAATATTTTTGAATGTTTTCTACATTTTCAAATATATTGATTTCAATTACCACACAAAATACAAAGTGTACAGTGCTCACTTTATATTATTATTTTTTATTACAAATATTTGCACAGTAAAAAACAAAAGAAATAGTATTTTTCAACTCACCTAATACAAATACTGTAGTGCAATCTGTCATAAAAGTTGCACTTACAAATATAGAATTATGTACAAAAAAAACTGCACTCAAAAATAAAACAATGTAAAATTTTAGAGCCTACAAGTCCACTCAATCACTTCTTGTTCAGCCAATCACTCAAATAAACAAGTTTGTTTACATTTGCAGGAGATAATGCTGCTCCCCCCATTTCTTGTTTACAATGTCATCTGAAAGTGACAACAGGTTTGCATGGCACAGTTGTAGCTGGTGTCGCGAGATATTTACGTGCCTGAAGATGTACTAAAGATGCATATGTCCCTTCATGCTTCAACCACCATTCCAGAGGACATGCATCCATGCCGATGACGGGATCTGCTTGATAATGATCCAAAGCAGTGCGGATCAGCGCATGTTCATTTTCATCATCTGAGTCAGATACCACCAGCAGAAGGTTGATTTTCGTTTTTGGTGGTTCAGTTCTGTAGTTTCCACAGCGGAGTGTTGCTCTTTTAAGACTTCTGAAAGCATGGTCCATACCTCATCCCTCTCAGATTTTGGAAGGCACTTCAGATTCTCAAACCTGGGGTTGACTGCTGTAGCTATCTTTAGAAATCTCATATTGGTACCTTCTTTGCATTTTGTCAAATCTGTGAAAGTGTTCTTAAAATGAATATGTGCTGGGTCATCATCTGAGATTGCTATATCATGAAATATATGGCAGAATGTGGGTAAAACAGAGCAGGAGACATACAATTCTCCCCCAAGGAGTTCAGTCACAAATCTAATTAACACATTTTTTTAACGAGTGTCATCAGCATGGAAGCATGTCCTCTGGAATGGTGGCCGAAGCATAGAATGATAGAACTGGAAGGGACCTCGAGAGGTCATCTAGTCCAGTCCCCTGCACTCAAGGCAGGACTAAGTATTATCTAGACCATCCCTGAGAGGTATTTGTCTAACCTGCTCTTAAAAATCCCCAATGATGGAGATTCCACAGCCTCCCTAGGCAATTTATTCCAGTGCTTAACCACTCTGACAGTTAGGAAGTTTTTCCTAATATTCAACCTAAACCGCCCTTGCTGCAATTTAAGCCCATTGTTTCTTGTCCTATCCTGAGAGGTTAAGAATAATTTTTCTCCCTCCTCCTTGTAACAACCTTTTATGTACTTGAAAACTGTTACCATGTCCCCTCTGTCTTCTCTTCTCCAGACTAAACAAACCCAATTTTTTTCAATCTTCCCTCATAGGTCATGTTTGCTAGACCGTTAATCATTTTTGTTGCTCTCCTCTGGACTTTCTCCAATTTGTCCACATCTTTCCTGAAATGTGGTACCCAGAATTGGACACAATACTCCAGCTGAGGCCTAATCAGTGCGGAGAAGAGCGGAAGAATTACTTCTCATGTCTTGCTTACAATACTCCTGCTAATACATCCCAGAATGATGTTTGCTTTTTTGCAACAGCGTTACACTGTTGACTCATACTTAGCTTGTGATCCACTATGACCCCCACATCTCTTTCTGCAGTACTCCTTCCTAGGCAGTCATTTCCCATTTTGTATGTGTGCAACTGATTGTTCTTTCCTAAGTGGAGTACTTTGCATTTGTCCTTATTGAATTTCATCCTATTTACTTCAGACCATTTCTCCAGTTTGTCCAGATTAGTTTGAATTTTAATCCTATCCTCCAAAGCCCTTGCAACCCCTCTCAGCTTGATATTGTCTGCAAACTTTATAAGTGTTCTCTCTATGCCATTATCTAAATCATTGATGAAGATATTGAACAGAACCAGACCTAGAACCGATCTCTGCCAGACCCCACTCTTTATGCCCTTTCAGCATGACTGTGAACCACTGATGAGTATTCTCTGGGAACAATTTTCCAGCCAGTTATGCACCCACCTTATAGTAGCTCCATCTAGGTTGTATTTCCCTATTTTGTTTATGAGAAGGTCACGCGAAACAGTATCAAAAGCCTTACTAAAGTCAAGATATATCACAACTACCACTTCTCTTCTATTCTTTTCCTCCCCCCCCCCCCCCCCATCTACAAGGCTTGTTACCCTGTCAAAGTAAGGGTCATGAAGGGGCATACAAATGTTTAGCTTATCTGGCATGTAAATACCTTGCAATGCCGGTTACAAAAGTGCCATGCAAATGCATGTTCTCACTTTCAGGTGACATTGTAAATAAGAAGCAGGCAGCGTTATGTCCCGTAAATGTAAACAAACATGTTTCTCTTAGCAATTGACTGAATAAGAGGTAGGACTGAGTGGACTTGTAGGCTCTAAAGTTTTACATTGTTTTGTTTTTTGAGTGCAGTTATGTAACAAAAAAAATTGTAAGTTGCACTTTCATGATAAAGAGATTGCACTTCAGTTCATGTATGAGGTGAATTGAAAAATTCTATTTTTATAGTGCAAATATTTGTAATAAAAATAAGTGAGTATTGCAAACTTTGTCATCTGTGTAATAGAAATCAATATATTTGAAAATGTAGAAGAACATCCAAAATATTTAATAAAGTTACATTGGTATTCTATTGATTAACGGTGCGATTAAAAGTGCAATTAATCACAATTTTTTTGAGTTAAACATGTAAGTAAACTGCGATGATCGACAGTCCTATTTCTAATGTAATACGTCCGACAGGCAGTGACATGAAACCTAACAAATCCAAAATTCTCCTGTTTTAATAAAGCCTCTTTTCTTAAACATTGAATAATTGGGCATCTTACTAGAATAAATTATTTAAAATAGATTCAAAGGAGAAAAATAGAGATTGAATCTTATTTGAAACATGCTATTTATATTTCTATTTTTAGATCCTTATTTCAGCAGATGATGAAATGGAGGAGTCAGAAGTTGAAGAGGACCTACGGAGACTGACTAACTTAAAGCCTATTAAGAAAAAGCATCGCTTTGGGCTGCCTGTATGATGCATTCCTGACCTGTGTATTTGCAGGTTTCGTGACATAAGCTTCCTGATCAGTGGATTTTCACTTTGCAACAGCATCCCTTTTTTCCTACTAACAGTTACTCAACAACAGGTCTGTGATTAGGATGCAGGTAGCTTGAAGCATTCCAGTTCAGTTGCACTACAGAAACACTGACCAAATATGCAAGAGCGTCTTTTCATCATTTGTGGAAACACCACATTGTTAGGGACCAGACACTAAAATGGTTTGTATCTGACACTTCAGAGAAGACGACAGAAAAACAATTACTCAGTGTCAACTCACTTATGGTTCCTGAGTGATTCAGTGCAAGACATTCTGGAAAAAGGCATCGGGGTTGACTAAGTGGAACTAGTGTGTTTTATTACTAAAACTGGCATTTGCAACATATTAATTCCTAGAGCAGAATAGTTTTATGGTTACAAGCTGTAACTTAATGTTATTTTTTTAAGTACATGTTTACTTCCTACAAGGTACCTATGGAACTAATAGGCAGAACAAAGATTTTTTTCAAGTCTCCTCTAACCTATTTGACTATTTTATATTTAAGTTATATTTTCATACTGTTATATTTAAGGATTCTCTTTGTCAGAGAAAAGGATACTGTTCCCTTTTTTTGTGTGGAAAAAGATCAAAAGATTTGCAGTGAAGTTCTCATTCGTCCTTGTCACTTGATTAAGATAAGGCAAATGATGTTTTCACAAAGGGAAAAGCTTTCTTTCACTGTTGAAACCACCAAATGTCAACTAGAAATGTAGCCCCAAGTGTGGTTTTGGCAACGTCATTTAAGAATAGTGTTTTGTAAAATGGAGATGTTCTCTGCATATTTGGCAATATGCACTTTAGCAGATAAAGAAAACACATTTTTCTGATAGTTTCCTCATCTGTGAAATGAACTTCTAAGGATGACTTCATCAATATTTGTTTCATAAGAACTTGAAAATCTCTGATTGTACCTCTCAACTATTCCAAAGGAGGCAGAACATTCCCTCTCTATATTTCTTACATGGGATCTAGCACACGAGATGCTGATCTGATTAGAGCTCTTAGCACTACCTTAATACATATAATTCTTTCTTTGGGTTGCATTTTTACTTAAGATTTTTTCCATTTAAATATAAATGTGTAGTGCTGATCTTTAGTAACAATACTTCATTTGAAGGCTTTAAAGCATACTTCCCCAGTGCACACATTCCTTAATTCCTCCAAAAAAGCCTACTTGTTTCTCCCTTTCTCTATCTGGAATAAAACTGAGAGGTACTATGCACCTGTTACTACATTTAAGATGTCTGTGGCTTTCAGTGTCGTCTTTCCGTGGTTAATGAAAACATATCTGCTGGTGTTGAACCCTTGTAGACCTGTTTTCAGTGACCTCCTGTTCCTTTGTGTATTTCCCAACTGTTCCAACAGCTTTCTTTGATTCAATTAAGCCTTGTGTAGGATGAGGTGATGCATCAAAAAGATGGCAAAGATCAGAAATAAGTTGCAAATCTGGACATCAGATGCGTTCCAAGCCTTAAAAAACCAAACAAGTTCACTGGAAGACAGCTCAGAACTTTTTAAAGATTTTTTTAAATTTTGTATATATTTAGTAGGTCTTAATGTGGTATGTTACCAATACTGCTGAAGTGGGGTCGGTAGGCCTTCGGAAATACTGTGTGCTCCCTTGCTTACCTTCACTATTCAAATATTTGTTTACAGCTTAGCTATTGAGGTAAACAAAATGTCCTGTGACTTCTTCTGTATATCTCAATCTGTCCAGCTGACTAAAAGGGACATTTTACCAAACCTGACATTTGAGCTAGCTGGAGCCCCCCCCCCCCAATCACTGGTACTGTGTGTTAAAACATAATATTTGCAATAAGTTAAATGCTAATGTTTTTCTTACACTAAATCTAGAAACTAAGGGAAACAGACACTTGCCTAATTTGAGTTTCTCTGAAGTGTGAAGTAGGGAAGTGTCACTAATCAATGTTGCCTCCCAATTTATTAGCTTACCTTTTTCAGTAAATGTTTCATCTTTTTTGATTTAAGCCTTGTCTGAGTATTGTACAATCAGGCAAGTTCAACCTCTCCAGTACAGTAGTTTAAGCAATTCACTTCAATGAACAGTATATCTACTACAGCTTTGCCACTCCCACGGGAATTAAGAACTAGTCTCCTCTGTTCACGAACTTTGGTATTTTTAGTCAGGAGCTTGAGAGGATTTGCCTAGGCCTTGTTCTATTTGAGGTAATGAAATAAAACAGATGATGCTTTCTCTATTCCACCATATTATACTTACCTATCCTCTTTAGTCATTAGGGATCATTTGAACAGCACACAAATCATGAGCTTTATTTTTTTGCTTCCTCTGTTCAAATTATGCAGAATATCAAAATGAGCTTTGTTTCTAGTGTCAAGTTTAGTCTGTGAACCATCAAATGGCCTTAATCATGTAAAATAAGCTTCTTTTGTACAGACCTCATATTTACTGTCCAAGTAAAGATAGTATAAAGCACCATATAGCTGTTTTCTTCAGATTGTTTTAAGGGTAAAAATGCTTTTTTTCCCTTTTTTTTTTCTTAAGTGCTTCAGTACCTCTGAGTTGAGATTTATATTGTATTGTTTTGTAACAGGACTTGTGACATAGTGAAATTCTATTAGCCAAAGACTCTTGAGCATTTCACATTCCCACAGTCATAACATGGAAAATGAATACCTTTTATTAGAAAGGTTGTTTGAGCATTAATTTTGATATAGTCCCTCTCTTTAATACTAGACTCTTAAAGTTCCCCCAGGTGACAGCAAGATGTTACATTTTTGCTCATTAGTTTTCATTACCCTTTCAAAAAAGAAAAGGAAAATGTTAAATTATTTCCCTGTTTGCAAAAGTCTTAACTGAAAAAATGAATTCATGCAGTAGTTAAAGTTTATACATTTTTCTTTGAAGCTCAGACATATAACATCTAGTGCTTCACTGTTGGAGTATTTTGGCAGTACAGTTTAAGAGAAACTATTCTGTAATGAGTTGATATGATGATGATTTGAAGTCCTGGAAGCACATATGTGATTCTCCTCCAAATGTTAGTCTGCTGTGGCAAATCCATCCTTTAAACAACTCACAATAGGTTTAATTCAGACTGTACTTATAAAAGGTAGTCATTATGCCATTATTTGTTTGTTTAAAATAAGCTTGTGTATAAATAAATAAAAGGGATTCTAACTTTTAAATGTATACTTGAGCAGAAATTAGAAATATTGGAGGTCAAGATTCATCACAACTTGTCAACCTTACAACACATGAACCGGTTATATCTGCGCTGTGATATGTTGTCATCTAATATGTGGTCTTAAAGTTCTGGCTTTAATGCATTCAGTTCCCCTTGTCCTACTTTATGTGGTAAAATGCTGTATATTAATGTTGCTGACTAAAATGTGCTATAGCTTTTCTTCAGGGAAAACTCATACTTGTTGAGTTGTGAACTTAACTAAAACAATGCAAAGCGTTCCAGAGGTTTCTAACAACTGTATGCACAGTTTCCAGCTGTGCCTGTTGGGGGAAAGAATGTTCAGCATTAGCAGTGAAGGGTTGAGTATCTTAAGGAATTTCTGCTATTGCCCCCAAGTCTGCAACGTGCTGTGCTTTTTGCAGCACCAAAAGTAGTGAAAGTGAACAAATCCAGCCACATCAGGTCAAAGTAGATCTAAAGCACAGCTGTGCAACTTTTTTTTAGACAATATGTAGTCTCCATTTCAATGACTGAAAATGACTACTATGGTTTTACAAAGTAAAACTACACTATCTTTAAAAAAGGGACTCTTTTTTGTAATTGGGTTTTTGTCTTGCCTGGGTATGTCTCAAATTGAACTTTGGGTTTATTTGTTTACAAGTAAATTGGGAGTAGAGCCTATGTCAGCAAACAATGACTGAAATCTGCTGCCCTCTGTTTGAACCATATTGTTTAATCAGTGGTGTTACATTAAAGTTTAAGGGTATATGATGTAAGGGTACTTACATTGTATAATGGTTTACAATAAAGTTTGACTTATTACAGACTTTTACATGTGTTCTGTGCTCCCTTATTATGTTAAAAATGAATGTACTTATTAGCTGTATTCAGTGTGCCTTTATGTTGATTACCTTCTGTTCTGGCACACATTTTGTTGTTTAGAGTTTAAGCACTGAACTTCAGATCTGCTGGTATTAGTTTTTGCTTCTGCATTGGGATTAGTTTCAGGATGTTGACACATCTCAATATCCATTTTCCAAGGAGAGACAAGACATGTTAGATTACAAATTTTGTTTTATGTGCAAATGTCATACATATTTAAAATTTCTCTCAAAGAGTTGCACTTACAAGGTGCAAAGGTAGTTGTGTTCCCTGTGGTGTTCTACACAGATTTTGCCTTGAGTGCACACCCATAGATATGTTATATGTCATGAAATAATCAAAATGAATTTTTAGGTATACTCCCTGTGAAGACGTACGGCTGGTTCTGCCCCCCAGCTGCCAGCCACTAAAGTATGTATTGTAACAGAGCTGTGGACTTCAGACAGAAATGTCAGTTACTGGAATCGGGGGAAGGCCCTGCCTCCTGAACTTCAGTCATATTTTATTTGCCTCCACAGTGACCAGTGGTTCAGCCAGAGCTTTTTGGAGGCAAATTTCAATCTCTTATTGAAAATTTCTGACTAATTTGGCTGAATTTGTCCATCTGTCCCCTTGGCTCCAGCTTGGAGGTGTTTGCAGTGGCTGATGCACCTGCAGGCTTCAGGAAGCAAACTCAGCAGAGAATGCCAAAAGATAAAAAGGAAAGAGCTGTCTCTTGCTTCACACCTTTGTGTGTCCTGTGGAGCTTGTCAGGCTGAGTGCAGTTCCCCCTCAAAGCATGCTGTGGGCAGGGTCACCTTGGCCCTCCTCCAATAACCAACAAAGAGCCAAGCAGGAATCGAGTAGCCAGAGGCAAGCAGATCCCCTGCCTCGTTTCCATGA